TTTAGAGCGATGGTCTCTTCAACAACATGATGGTCTCATATGACTGCCAGATTGATGAGCATCTAAGTGAAGAATATGAGCTGTCTGTCAAGCGAATTAGAAATTTGCCAGACTACAGTTCGTATAAACATATATGGGCCGATTATATAGTATGAAATTCAAACGACAGATGGAAGAAATAAACTATAGAGTGGAGCCTACGAGAATGCACTCATCCCCGAAGACGACCATCTACATTTCGGGCGAAGATGTTCGTAAGAAGATTTAATGAGCTGCACTCGCAATTGCTGATACTTTACAGATCACATTACGAAACTCGCCCCAGCCCTCATGCTCGAATCAAACCACCACCATGGACGACAATCGTGAGATGAAGAAACAGACGGTGTTGAGGTCCGTAAAATTCGTGAAGGCGGACCGTGCAAGTATTCTAGTATTCAAGTACAGTTCATACAATTTGAGTCCGTGCTTGCGCCTCTTACGTATGATATAGTAGCAAAAGCGATTCCACCTCTAATTAGTTTGCCAGTGGTTTGATAGCATTGTCAAACTTCTCATCCGCGTATACTCTACTGCAGCTGTTAAAATGCTCGATTAGCAGTCTAGTTCAGTATAGCTTGCTTTACAGGTCACGTCATGCATTGTCGATAAAGTGGGACTCGTCAGAGGAGCTCACCAGGCTTTTCATCTTTGCGGAGTCGATAGGATAGTACCTGGATTGCCTGGGAGGAAATATCAGTGACTTGATGAGTTGATAGGCCACTGTTACTCATTTTAGTAGCCGAATTTGCATTCAGTCACCTCTGACGATGATAATGAAGCCGGGTACATAGCGCATCCCTTGAGAACTGATCAGTGCTGGGAGTTTCTCTTATGGAGCTCAAAGCTTTGAGTTTCAAGCATTCTTAACGTCATTCATATGATCTCAGTTACAGTCTAATGTATAACATCTTTTTAAGGGACTAATCAATGACCAACACTTTATCTTTTATTCCAAATCGGACATAGCCCTCGCACCGTTCATCGGTGAGAAACAGCTCTTGTCATGTTTGATACATGGCGCGTGACTTGTTTGTCATAATGATTTTTTAAGATAACGTCTCCGCGAATTTTATTCACCTCTGTTTAGTCATACCTTGTAGGCAAAATGTCAGTGCTGCTCACTTATTACACGGCAAATTCACATCATAGAAAAATTTGAGACTTAAGAACCATTAACATGACCAGCATCAGCATCAAAAAGCTAGAGTTGACAAATATATTAAAGTGATCAGATGCCAATCAGTGTTTTCCATGTGTCTGCTGATCAATTCTATGCAGAACATAGCATAAGTGGTGTTTGTAAAATTTTCATTCCTCGAATACATTCTTCTATATCTCTCTAAAACACTAAGGCGGCGCCACCTGTCGTCGCCAGTTATTAAGCGCTCAAATCAAGTATAGACTATTTCTGGGGCCTTCTTCTGATCGAGTGCGGCGTTTGCTTAACCGATTGTACGTACTGGTAATTGTAGGCATCTGGCGTTGACTCTTCAACCGTCGCTTCTGAAACAGGAACAGTTTGATGGAAATCATGGAAGAAATTGAATTATTCGCATCTGAAACCGAAAAAAGATGGGGGCAAGTCGCAATGTCTTAATGTTTTCAACTGCATATAAGGTCACTTAAATGCTTTGCGTTATGGTGAATCTATTTACATAGAATGCAACCGTCCCATTTCCATTCTAGTAGCGGATTATGAAGTTTGTCTCAGTAAGAAATTATTTATTTGGTGACCTTTTCCTTGTCTTCTTTCCTCTTCCGGATGAGAAACTCAATAAGAGCTGTTAGCATCGATAGTACCATACCAATCATGAGTATGTAAAAGATTCCAGCAACTTTCGATAAATTCAAAGAGGAACTTGCACCACTATCCTGAAAGCGAAACATCTTTGTAAGTTTCCCAAAGCTGATCTGGATAACTTCGCCGGTTCTAACCATATAAGCAAATCGCTTAACGCTCTTAAAATTAAAACGCTTTTATAAACTTCCATAGTGGGATGTTTAGGGAAAAAGGATGTACAAATGATCCTACATAAAGATGTTCTTCAGCGCACTCACCGTTATACCTTGATCACATTGTCCTCGATCGTACCACCATTTATTCTCCAATCGTTTCAGTTCTCCTTTTTCTTGGAGATAAAGAGTTGCCAAGTTGAGTGCACCCCTGAAGCGAGTTGGTCATCAGCATTGGATATTAAATAGCGGACCACGAAGATTGTGGCTCGAGTGGTAATTGATCTCTTTTTCAGAAATCAAGATTGGTACATCCGGCAGATATAACTTTACACTAACTCCCAAGATCAACTATCCCTTAACCTCGTCATTCTTCAATAATTATTGCTTTTTTATGATCCAAACACGAGGTTTTCATAATACTATTTATTTGAACAGCTATTGATCACCTGATATTTTGAGGCTCTAAGAAAGAAGAAATCACCGAGACGTCAGCTGTTTGAGTAAATGATATTTTAAAAGCCTCGGTTTTGTTCAATAACAAACAGCTAATATCGCAGAATTGTTTTATCCTCAAGGATAGTCTTACAAATCGGCGAGACGTTCAAGTACGAAGAAGAAATACTTTTATGATTTTATAGGCAAATTCAGTTTATATTCGAGCTAGTGACATGTCACTGATTTGGCTATCGTCACAGTAACCACTGCTATTTCGGAAAAGCTCGAAACACAAGACAGCAAATATCTCCTTAAGAAAATACCAGCATCTTGTAATGACGATCTGAGGCCACCGTAGCCTTTATCTCTAGTTCCTGGAAAGCTACGTTCAGGCGGGGTCAAATTAATAGTGGAAGAAATAAGCAAAAGATTGAGGCTGTAAATTCCAGACATGCACCCTCCACCGGCGCAGATGACAGTTGAGGAAGAACCAAACGAGTGAGAAAAAAAGCTGGGATCCGTACGAAATGGGCAAAAGAGTTATGGTTTTAAAATAATTATTCTGGACAAGTTAATATTTATATTTGAAATTATTGATCAATGAACAATTATGAATAAACCATTCCATCTACCTTAATGGATTGCCAATTTTCGTAGCAATACCGTATCCGAGAGTATTGAGGTTCTGTCCAACCTTCATCGTATTACAGGGTTTGCGACCGCCTTCATAGTTGTTTGTTGTCTCTTCCAGTAAAAAGGCATATAGACCCTGAAATTTGATAATCTTATTGACAGTAAATCGTGAATTCACTAATTTTCTAAGAGCAAGCGATTGAGATTCCGCGTATATTTTTTCAAATACGGCCCGTAATATATCCATTTTAATAAATAAAGCGCACTGAGTTCTTGGTTTTTTGTGTTAGATTTCAGACTAAATCATTTACACTTGAAGGTGCCTTAAAATAATTATGAATCTCATCTACTGTCCACGAATATTTTCAGATTTGCGTGTCACTTCCGCTATCACTTGAAGACTGTGAATCACGGTTGAGTTGATTTCAAGGAATCGTGGTGTGGCGTTCCCGTATACTTCGAACGTTCTCAGTTTTTTAGTGTAGGCATTCGAGGAACCGTTTGGCTCGGGACTTACTTGAATCATCGATCACATGTGTGTCGCGCAATATCCCTGACTACTGTGCCCCAAACTTTCAATATCAGTTGGAGAGAAAATCTGGCCAAGGAAATTCGCGCGAAGTGAAACTCCTGTAACATCATTTTGTAATAGAAAGAAGATTTCTTCCCAAGAGAAGAAAATTATTAGATCTTCTCATAAGTTTTGGCACGAGAACAGTAAACGCCACATCTATCGATCAAAAGTAATTAAAATTGCTCAGAAACACTATGCAAAGCATAAGCAGTGAGCTTGAACACATATCTGTCATCTCTCAGGCCACAAATAAATACCGCTTCGTACAAAATTTCCCGGGCTTTTTTTTAGTGCCAAATTTGTCCATACTTATCGCATTATGACCGCTCAAAGAAACCCCTAATATTGCAATTTGTTGCTTTACGAGTACCAAATGGGATCACGGTGCACAGATCGCGTTCGAAAACATAAAACGTCCAAAGACTCGAAAATTTCTATCCACGCAAACAGCATTTCGCTTCGTTGCAATCGAACTCTGTCACGTCGAGTTGCCGCAATGTCATCCTGCTTTAAGACAACGCAAGGCTGCATGTCGCCACACTGACAAAGAGGAAGTCGACCGAACTGGGCTGGGAGTTGCTGGATTATCCGCCGTACAGTCCTGACTTTTTGCCGTCCGACTACCACCTCACTGGTCGCTGGAGCACTTCCTGAGCAAGAAGAATTTACAAAACATCATATATTTGTGTTGAGGATTGACAAATTTCTTCAAATCCAAAGATGACAAGTTCTATGAGCGAGGAATTTATTTGATCCAGAGAGATGGCAAATATGTACAGGCTGATGACACATACTTTGATTAGTGTTGCTAAGCAATTTCAATTGTTTTCGGTTAGTAAATTCGGTGTTTAAGTGTGCCAGAATGTGCTCTAGTGCCAGAACTTCGAGAAGCCCTAAGAGGAGAGGGCAGCTTCGTTTTATAGTATCCTTTGCAGTTAACTACAATCAAGTTGGGATTATTGCAAAATGCCAGGTGCATCACGCTGTCTCTGAAGAGTTGAGCAAAAGCGATATATTGGTCCGAAACATTAATAAATTTGCATTGCTTCTCAGAATCAAACTTTTCAATGGTCGCCATTGACTGGTCCACTAAGGAGCCGACGGTGCATCTCCGATTTAAACATCATACCTGTGGAAACATAAGTTGCTAAAAATTTGATTGATAACGTAAGAGAATCAAGTGGTGGGCAAAAATACGATATCAGGCGGGAGTGAATCCGCGTTTCATCCATATCGGGGACGCGTGCTACCACTACACCACCAAGGTACATTCGCGCTACCACTTAATCTTTAATATCTCTGTAAAAGCTATCAGCCATCAACTTTGAACAGGTTAAAGAATGAGTGATGGCGCGAATGTACCTCGGCAGTGTAGAGGTAGCACGCGTCCTCATTACGGATGAGACGCAGGTTTGACTCCCGTCTGAGGTCGTATTTTTGATCACTACTCGATTCTTTTAAGTTCAAAACATCATAACACTGCGGAAAAAGCAGTAAAAACACTAGATTTCACGAGTAGTTGATAACGTTTTTGAGGGAAATCTGCACGGCATCGTCATGAATCCAAAACATTAGAGTAAGGAGATGCACTTACCTCACCTCATTCCTCGGTGGCCGATTACTAAGTAAAATTTTAATAGGATCCTCACACTTGACCTACCAAAACCGTTAGGCGAGAACCGATGTTTGTAAAATAATGCCAGAAAATTGAGTTTTTAGAGATATCCCACGAGATTTCAGGAATAAGTGTTCTGAGGAAGCAAACACGTTTAGCATTCTGACCTCATGCAGAGTGAGTACTTGTAAACTGCACAGAAATTCAATCAACAGAATTGCGAACAGACGTTTTCCCGTTTGGGAACTTATGCGATATGATCGTCAAGTGGTTGCTGGAGCTTAGAAAATTGGATATTCAAAGGTAAGCAATACAAAAAAAGGTACTTCATTTTAGTTCGCCACTGTCAAAAAGGATAAGTGAGCGGAACGACTCAAACAGGCTCCAGCTTTTGAATCATAACACTCAACTGATGTTACAAGTTTGACTCTCATCAAATAGAAGAGTTGGCATGAACTTGGCGCCTATACTATCACTTGTGACATTAGTCCGCAATGAGAGGCATCATCTACATGGCGTGAAGTTGAACGGCTACAACAGCCTCAAAAACGTTCTCACAAGCTCTTCGAATTGTAACCATTTACTTTAAAGGAAAAGAACTCGCCTATTGCATGCAATCTTTTACGATGATGGCACGTTCGTTATTAAATAATGTTTTTTTTTTCTGAACAAGTAAAATTGAGGTGAAAATTCAATCAATATCGGGATGGTCATTTACCAACAGATGATCCTCCTCTAACTCTCAAGGCTTTTCATGTCTTATCGAAATCAAATAGAGAATGATTACTTGTAAAGTGGTCACCAATCTTTGTTTGCACTCAACAATTGATGTGTTTTTTATATCTCGTGTATATAATGCT